CTTCGTTGATATGACTTTTGTCCTTTTGGTTGCCCCAATGACTACATTAGGCCTTTATTAAAGTTGTAAAAATACCAATAAAAAATCGCGTCAGGTGGATTGACTCTGCATTTCCCGCGTAACGCCCTTATCAGTACATAAAAGAATATGTTCAGCTCAAGCTAGATACTCCGAGAAAAGAGTCAGTCAAACAGGTTAGTACAATTAGTCCATAGACATTCTTTTCCTGAACTATCGGTAGTGCATCTGGAAACTATACCAGAACACTCATTACCAGTAACAGCCGCGGCCGATAGGTACGTGATCCGTCCCCCGAGTATATTGTTCTAAGTTTTCAGGGCCAATGTACAGATAAGTGTCTGATAAGCGAAATATGTTTAGTCGGTGCGTAGAATTACCAATGTTGGGAGCGTATAAATGTACCAGCATCAAACAATTGAGACAAACCCTCCCAATCCCCTTACAACCCCCACTCCCAAGTTTTTTTACCTTTAATTTTTTTTTAAAATTATCAGGAATCTCTGAAACCTCATTTCTCGTATGCTCTACCAACAGCCACCCATCAGTCAGACATCGGTCGAAAATATCTGTCTGTCATTCTGTATAAAAGGCAAATGTAGAGGAAGGACGCCTAATATCAGGTACTTTTTTAAAAATCTTCAATAACATTTTTCTTTTCATTTTTAAAAGTTAATTGGTGTATAAATTTATTGCTTATTGCCCCTAGTTTTGTGTTACGCGAGATAATTAAATTTCAGTAGACACAGTTGTTGTTATACAAAAAATTCGGAATGGTGTCCTTTTTCTAAATTAAAAAAGGGTTGCCTAACATCGGGTAGGAGAGACCGGGGATGATTGACTAGTTTTTTACATCATACATATTTTTTGTGCTTTTATACATACAGACAATAAAACTGGATCAATGGATGTTGCCTAATATCGGGCACAAGAATGCAAAGTGGCAATATTATCTAAGATATGTTATTTTACAGTAAGATACCTAGTCAGAGAATACAACAGGCATAAAGAAACACTTTATATATATATATATATATATATATATATATATATATATATATATATAGTAACATTTTTGTAACACAAGAGAGTACGAAAAATAAAATAACTATTTCTTAATAATCAGAAATTAAAATAAATAATTTTAACAGAAACCAGTATTTATCCATCTGAACACAATTCAGAAATAAATGATTTCTCCTTGCCTATATCTGAGCACTCTTCGTGAAATCAATCGCAGACTCTCCATGCATTGGACCCACTGGGATCTACAAATATCTTCAGAGAACCATAAAGAGAGAACAGAGAACAATAAAAGCATTCCACATCGACATCATCTTGGTCCATATCGTCGTCGGTGTCATCCAATTGAATTTGCTCACTATCAGAACTGCTAGATGAGCTTATCTTCCTCGTTCTTCCTTTTTCCTTTCGGGATTAATTTTTTATTGTTAACCTTTTTCTTCTTGTGTTTTAGCTTTGATTTATTTTGAGTTAGGCTAATTTTCTTTGGTGTGATCTTATTTATTTTTTCCAAGCTCTCTTCTAAATCTGTCTTATAAGGCGTAGACGTGAGGATAGCTGTTTACCTCCTTTTTTAGAAGCTTCACCCGAACAACCTGGCTTGGGAGACTGATGTTTTATCTTATGGCTAGGTACAGGACAAATATCCTGAGGTACAATGAGCTTAGGAGTCGAAATGGGTGGTGTAGGGCCAATTTCACCGTTATTCTCCACCTATAGGGTAGCAGACCATCAAGTACTACAAATGCGCTTCAAGTTCCAATCAACAAATTTTAGCAACCAATAGCTATGAAATGTTGAAAACAAAATACTGTCAAAGTGTGAGATGACAGCTTGTCATTGAAACATCACCAGCTTATTGAATATTAAGAAATTACATATAATTCAGTCAAAATTCAAAGAAATGTTGGATTTTTTGAATAAAATTCATGTTTTAATTACTATTGTTGATTTTTTATTGTTTATATTATTTTCTTCAATTGATATGCGATACTGAGTGTTTTTTCCTATAAACCTCTTGCAGATAGCCATTAAGCACCTACTTGATGACAGGCTCTACCAAAAGATATTGCTCGTTTCCAAACATTCATTCATTTACTTGCCGTTCATCAGAACCATTATGGCACCTTAGATTGATATTCCCACAAAACCATTCAGGTTTTTTGATATTCGTACATCCATAAAGTTGAATATTTTTCGTTTTTCAGGAACTGAACAAACATCCACACTATATTCACAGCGATTAAGAAATTCCGAAATATATGCCGTGAAGCTACCAGCAAACCTTAAACCTGCAAAAAAAAACTACAAATTTGCCATATTTTTCTTTTTTCACGAGTACACATTCTAGGTTATATTTATATTAGACATTATTTGAATACAGCTGATTATTGCATTTCAAGGAGTGACACATGTGTGGGATCTGTCAACTCTTGGTACCAGTCACAAAACATATACTCTGAAGGTTTAATTCCATGCTATTCAATGACAACACGGTGACTTGTGTGGTTGTCAGCGGCCATTTTGTGAGGGTGCGACAGGGTTGCCAGATTGTGCATTAATATCCCGTTTCACTATCCTGGTCCCAGTAGAGTAAGTTCCGCCAGCTGTTGAAATATACTACTATGCTTTATAAGGCTATTCGTGACATTTTTCCCAAAATCATTGCACAACACTTGAGAAAATGCAAATGAAAATTTAAAATTATTTCCATTACGCCGCAAAATAGCTCCGTCGGTACCTTGGGTTATGCATCTTGACAGTAGGGATGTTCGATACGATCCTATATTTAGAAGTATCAATACATTTTACGAGTATTGTCATCTTTCGATTAGGACTGTGTCAGAAAGAGTGACTGCGACATTACCCTGCCAAATCAGACATATCTTTCATCATTTTCAAAGAAATTGTACAAAATCTTCAAATTCGTGAAGTTAGCGAGTTTCACTTCATACGCTGTTACCAGACATGCCCAAATCATCAGATGCTGCCGTGATATTCATCCCGACCACTGCATCTCCACGGCTAGGTGACCTATATGTTAAATTTGTATTGATAGGGCAGCGGTTTATGCTATAACTCATATGTCTCAGTTTTTGTGCACTGATTGCAACGGTTAGCTGATACCAAAAATATTTTCATAAATAGGATATCTTTCCCATTCCGGATCGAACAATCTACCAAAGATGCTAATAATCATGATACCTAGTAAATTTTTACGAAAAAAATTGAAAACCAGCAAATGTAAAAGATTCATTTCGCACCCTCCACCACGGGACGTGATCGTCGTTAGACTTGGCAACCCTGCGAGTGACAGATATCCCCGCCAGCCCAAAAGACTAGTTTTTATGATTTTTGGACTTAAAAGACATTATTTGTGAAACATTTTTCATAATTTTTTGTCTATGTAATTGCATTATGCATCAGGGAGATGTAGAGATTGACACGTCTTACACATATTATCTGTGTTTTACGATGGAGAGGACATAATGTTTTTATTGCTTTGAAGAAATTCATTAACCCATAAATTAATAAATGATTACTACTATGACGTAAAGGAAGATGAGGAATTGGATGGAATGTATTTTATATTCTATTTTCTTGCAAAATACAGACAAATCCACACTAATCAACAGGTATGTAATGATAACTTTCAGTATATTGAAGTTGATAAATTCGAGAGTGCCATGCATTAACAGCTAGAAAATCGACCTATTATTTGCCGCATTCCCATTCGCTGATAGGGATAACGGATTGTTAAATGTAAACCTATAACATATACCAAAATACATGAAAGTTGCCCTGTTTTTTCTGTACAAAAGCATCATGTTGGAATCAAAAAGTGGTCTTGTTTATAATACATTCGAATTTTCACGATTTTATTCAATATTTCAATAGAAATCACTAATATTCATAGACCTTTGACAGCTTCTGTCAAATTGCATTCTATAAGGTATTTTCCCATTGGTCCATAATATTAATGTTGATGAAATCGGCCCGTAGTTTCTTTTTTTTCTTAAGCAGGATCCATAGCAATCTGATTTTCGTCGTTATCTCATTCGACTGATTGTATTTCATTTGAAGAATGAATGGCAAATTCGTCATCTCGAAAAATTGTTGGTTGAAATAGAAATATCCCACATTTCCTGAAACCATTCACGGCAACTTCACAACTTGCTGCTCGTAAATAAGCTCTTCCCATTAGTTCCAATATTTTATAGGAAGTTACTACTCTTCCTGGATTTATTTTAAGCCATGTTTCAATTTCAGCAGCATAATAAGTTGTAAAAGGTGACATGAAGGAGACATCAGGTGGTTGTATCTTATGTGTAGAATGGGGAAGTAGACAGATAATATGAATGAAATTTTCTCTTGCAATGTTGGTAACATCAATGTTCCTTGAATGAGAATAGTGTCCATCTAATATTAAGACAAGTTGTTCAGATTCACGAGGTTTTACATGTACAATAAAGTGCTTCAGCGAGTCTGTGAAAATGTCTTGCTGAATCCACTCCGATGGATGACATCAGGCAACAGACCCAGGGGGAGCTCCATTTAGAAGCTCAGGCTTCATATTTTTGGGGGGAAACATCAACAGTGGTGGTACGTAACGACCTACAGTGTTCATACACTTTACAATAGTTACTAAAGCACCCTGTTCTGAAGCAGTTAAAGCTGAAACTTGCCTCTTTCCTTTTAAACTTATCACTTTGGAATGTTTGTGCTGTACTGACGTAATCCCTGTCTCATCATCATTATAGATCGCTTCAACGTTCTCTTTTGTAAAACCCTTTACACGGGCTGCGGAAAGACAATTTTGGGTGTCTAGACATGAACGATTTCAACCATTTTTTCCCAGCAGCGGCACTTCGACAAGAAAAAGGATGTTGAAGCCATCGTAACGCCAACTGAAAGGCTAGTCTTCTTACATCTGAAGCTCGAAGACCAAAATACCGTTTTTACATTTCGAGAGCATACTCAACTAGCCCTTCTTCAAGTTTCTTTCTTAAAGCAGGTTTTCTGCCTAACTTAATAGCAAGTAATGTATCAACCGGTTTCTTACTAATTACATAATCAATAAGTGTGCTTTTGGGCACGCCAAATATTTTAGATGCCAAGAGAGTTCCCATTTCCTTGTTCTTAACTGCTTCGACCGCCCTTTTTATCGCTTCTGCATTCCATTCCTTCCTTTGTTTTGGAAGCATCTGTGAATAAACAGATGATTAATAAATATAACTTGAACAAAATGAAACCATATCGACGTTTTAAAACAAGATCTACGTCACAACATCAAGTGTTCCTTATATCGGGTACCCTATATTTGGCATCTTCACATGCCCGATATTAGGAAACATAACCTTAAAATATTCCGACAAGATATCTTAAAAATCAAAGTGAAAGGAACATTTTTCTGATCCTTAGGGGATGGCTGCAAGCCTAAAGAAAACACAAGAACATAAAAATGAACAAAAACAGACCTACCTTTTCATAAAAACACCGATTTATTTTACACCTTCAAAATATTTGTGGCGCATTTAACACACTTCGCACGTTTGTGGAAAGAATAAAGGTCACGAAAACATATGAACGTTACAGGTTGTAGTTGCTGTTACATTGTGGCCATTATAACAATAGATGGCTGTAGTAGTTCATCTAATAAACCGCTGTCCGATATTCGGAACCTACCCGAAATTAGGCATAATTCCTCTACGGAAAAATCTATGATATGTGGAATATGTCTAATTGGCACGTAGAATTACCAGGGAGAAGCATATAAGTATACTACAATATTTTTTCTGAAAATGATCACGAGCATCTGGAACGTTAAAAACGAAATTTGATCGACTTTATTTTTTCCTGCAGCCCCACCGCTACTGGATTGATTTTCAAAAACTATACAGCCTTTTCGTCGTTGGTATAGTCGTAACCATGTGTTGAAATGTCATCAAAATGCGACCGGTACTTTCCAATACGGATAGATCCACAGACAGACCGACATGTCACGTTAGATCCAAAAATTATAATGTCCCATATGTTTTTTCAGTAATTTTACATTTTGTAAAACTAAAGTTTTGGTAAATGAATTTTCCGTATTTGTGCTAAAAATTGTAGATACATTTTATAGGAACATGTTTAACAGAGCAGTAAATGCGGATTTATTTACGACGGCTGCCATTTCTTGTTTATAATGGGATGCGCTGGCCCAGCGAGTATTCCGAACCCTTAATGATAATTTTGCTCGGGTTAGAGATCAATTAACTCTAATTATAGCTTTTCTAATCGCCTTTTGTCAATCCCACTGCGCATCAATATCGTTCAAATGGCTTGTTCTCATTATATTATCCGGAAATCCATATTGAGCTGCGAAATGAGAAATCGTTAGAGAGATGGTGAATACGTTTCTGAGAGAAAGGATCATAACTAACCTCGATGAAGGGTGTTTCCAAAACGCACATCAAAAATTCAACAGGTTACTTTTTGGGACTAGAGAGACTAGTTTGTCCTGTGTGACGAAAAATCACATCGTTTCTTAGATACACAGCGAAAAAGATTTAAGAAAATATATATCAGCTTTTATTAAAAATGCTCCTAATTTACAAAATGACTACCTCCATGTACCATACATATACTTACCACAAAAAGTCTCCAACGAATGTTGCTACTTGATAATAGATTGAGTTTGAAACCTACTACAGTTTTCGAATTATCGTAGCTTGTTTTTAATGTGTTGTGCACTGGTATAATTTTTTAATTTATCAATATGTCTCCATGATACCATAACTCGAGAAGACACGCTCACTTTGCAATCGAATTTGCGCATGACGTCACTCGGTGACAAATGTTGCGCTTGCCAGGTATAAAATAAAGTACATTTTGTCACCGAGTGACGCCGCGCAATGCACGTGCAATCTAAAAATAGACGGATATTAATGACAGATATTTAGTCTATTTGATGTTAGGAAAAATTTAATTTTCAAACTGACACTCGTGGAACCTATATGCCTGGAGAATCGGCAAAATGAGAGAAGAAATGACTTCAAAACTTGACGCCTGAGTGAGGGCGTAGTGATTGGAGCGTACCAGCTACTGCGCATGCGGTTAGGAAATTTTTAATCTCAAACTGACAACTTGTGCTGTTGCACAGTAATTCGTATAACCTCTAACGTGCCTCTTAGCTATTACTATAATTAGCTTTTAGGATCCTAGTATCGAAAGAAAATAGGATAGTAGTGTTCCACATTTTGACTAGGAATCTAATCAAGATCTTCATTATCTGTTAAATCTGCTGGAGAGTGTATCAAATAATACACGTTAAGTTCCACCAATTTTGTTTCTCAAGACGTTACTTTTTCCAAAACACCTGGAACAAATTCATATACATTTTAGTTATTCTTCTATCAATCTTCAATGACTTAATCCTTAAATCTTTTCGGTCTTTCGACAAGAGATTGAGTTTTACATTTTTCAGCTTAGCAGGAATTCCAGACAATGAACATGTTACTGTTCCGAGACAATCCATCACCGCACAAAAGGAGGCTTTTCAACAGTTTTTCACAAATAGTTCCCTCCACATTACACATATTTCAACATAGCGAACACACCTATATCCCAATGAGATTTCCCTATTTGTTCGCGCGTGCGCGGCGATCAATTCAGTTACCCCCACTATGCATCTTGCTCTCGACAATATTGTATTTTGACTTATCTAATCCGTTATTGTAATGACGGACGGATAGAATTAAATGATCTCATTTGAATTCTTTCGTCTCCTCACCGATCACCGAACTTTTTTAAGAATATTTCTTTTTAGTTGTTTTCAGAATCATCATGTCGTCTAAATTGCTTTCGCTTTTGTTAATGGTTGTTTGGAGAATATTTGGAAATTTTGGCAACATTATAATCTTTATCTTGTCATATTGCTTTTCAAGGTTGAAAAGGGGATATTTTGCACTTTTTCAATTATTGAATCGCTTATATCTCGAAGAACCTTGTTTGTTTAAAACGAAAACAAAAAAAAACATCGTCCGGAGCGAAAAAAAATATGTTTGGAGTTTGTTTGGAAAAATTGTTTATACAATTTTTGACTCAATTTTTTGCATGTATACTTTATCTGAAGTCACTTGAAACACTGTGAAATACCGGGTGCGTTTTATATATCTATATTTAACACGCTCTGTTGCTGCAAAAATCACCAAATTTCGCAGCAAATAAGGTATAAGGTATAAGAGATCAAAGGCAATTTCACCGGTCCACGTGGAGTAAAGCACGCCTATGCGTGGACATAGCCAATGAGAAAGCGTGTATTTCAGAGCTCTGAACAAGTGCAGGTGACTACTGAAAATTGAAACAGTTTAGCCAGTGCCGTGTAGCGGTGAATAAACGTGTTTTCTTTAGTCTGTCCGTATTTTTTCATAGATTTTATTAGTTTGTGTGTTTTTGACTTTTGAATACTCAGTTTACTTGTTGATTTAATTGTTGTGTTGATTGTTCTTGTGTGTCCTAAATATGGCTCTTTGGAGACCTTGGGAAAATGCTCCAAGCCACGAGGAGATGGTTGATGAACCTGTGCAGGCAGAATTCTTTCATAAAGATTTAGAGGAACAGACCCAAAGAGTAATCCTAAATATGTATGATTGTCTGAAAAACGAAAATCCAGATTCCTCGCAAAATCAAATTTTAAACAGAATTTGTATCCTGACAAAAATCAGTCGGTCTACCATTTATCGGGTTATAAAAATGGGAGATGTAGTCAACCATTCCTTCCACAGAAAGCGCATAGGGCAAAAATTAAAAAGAATAGACGTGGGTTTTCAGGAGGATATTTGTCGTGTAATATACGGATTTTATAAAGAAAATTTGGTGCCCACGTTGGAAATGATACGGGATAAATTAAAAGATTATCCTGAAGATTTTTATAATTACAAATGCTTAGACTCACTGCACTGTATTGTAAAACTGTGTGGTTTTCAATACAAAAAATTAGATAAAAGAATGGTGATTATGGAGTCGTCTCGAATCGTTGAATTGCGCCAAGAATTTTTGCACAAAGTTAAAATCTATAGAGAGCAGAAAAGAAATCTGATTTACCTGGATGAAACGTGGTATGATACCCATGATGTTGTGCAGTACGGCTGGGTTGACGACAGCAACAAGTGCATTTTAAATGCACCATGCAACCGTGGAAAACGAATCATTATTCTCCATGCTGGCAGTGAAAATGGATTTATACCTAATGCCTTGCTGTTAACTGCCAAAAATATCAAAGAATCATGTGCCGACTATCATGAGGACATGACCTCCGACTTATTTGAAAAGTGGATAGAGTAGCAGTTAATACCAAACATTTCCCCAAATTCAGTGATTATTATGGACAATGCGCCATACCATTCCCGACAGAAAAACAAAATTCCGAATACAGGCACAAAAAAACAAGACATTATTGATTTTATGAAGGATAAGGGAATGGTAATACCACAAAAATCAACCAAAGCCATATTATTGGATCTTATTAAAAGACAAAAACTTGAAAAAGAGTATGTTGTTGACAATCTGCTTCAGCAAAATGGCCATGAAGTATTACGTCTACCTCCCTATTACTGCATTTTTAACCCGATTGAGTTGGTCTGGGCTGCTTTAAAAAAAAAGTAAGAAAACATAATCAGACCCCTCAATTAAGTGAATCGCTATTGGCCACAATAAGAGATGCAGTATCTCATATTGCTGCCACAGACCTATGGAAGCAGTGTTCTAGGCATATTATTGAAAAAGAAAATGAATATTGTGTTTTGCCTCCTGTAAATCCCGTGGTAATTCCTCTACAAGATGACTCTAGCGACAGCTCCGAAGGCGAGGATGATATATAAATACCTATAATGTAAGTCTTTATATACCTTTTTATATACCTACCTGCTATGTAAATATTTGCCTATGTCAAACGTTGGAATTCTGTAATTTTTCCATTTCTTAACTTTCAGTCAACATAAATTAAACTCCCAATATAAGTATTTTTTATCCCAAATCAAAAAAATAAGAAGATAGTAAAATCCATTTATTGTGATATAAAAACATTATTATTATCGCTCTAAATAAATAACCGCACGCCTATGATACGTCATGAAATTACAAAGGACGCGCCGACCAAAGGTTTTTATGCTATTTCAAGTGACTTCAGATAAACCATACTCGTAGATTCGTTGAAGAAGTC